GCTGCAGGCTTGGGGCATTGTCTTTTAATCAATTAAGATCAATTAACCTAAAGTTACCCCCGAGCCTCAGTTCTTTAGCCCAGGCCCCTCTAGTCTACCGGTTCTAATCCCAGTCCCGGTGACTTTCATTTCCAGTAACTTTAACTCCCTACACTTCTACTTTCTTACCTTAACCTTTCTCTAGGTATCCCAAGTACACTAAGCTCATGCATACATACACATCACAACACCCAACTTAGGAACTCACCTGTGTGTATGTGTAGGTGGGTGGTATGTGTGTGAATTAATGAATACAAATATATATACATATATAGATATCATTGTGTGTGTGGTATATGAATTAGTAATCCACATATGTGTATTGGATGTGCAGGTGTTGGTAACTGGTAACTGATTCTGTCTAAATGTGGTGTGCGTAGTGTGTGTGGGCTTAAACTGGTGATAGGTGTGCATGAACCTAGACTAGTTATTTTGAATGTGTATCTGAGTTGCTAGTGTGAGTGTGTATCTATCTATCTATCTATCTATCTATCTAGATAGATAGACAGATAGATATGGCATTGTGTGCATGATATACGAATTAGTGATCTGTGTCTAACTTCCAAGGTGTATAGTGTATGTGCTTGAATTGGTGATAAGTATGCATGTGCCTAGGCTGGTTTGGATGTGTATGTATCCCTGAGCTGGTAGTGTGTGTGTGTGTGTGTGTGTGTGCACCTAATTGATTTGTGTATTTGTATACGTGCAATGGTGTTACACCCTCCTGTCTAACAGCGCAATATTGAGATCCTGAGAGTTGGCCTGACCCCACAGGGCAACATGCCCACCTGGCAGCAGCAGGGGACATAACTCCATGTCACTGCCCCCACTGCTGCCAGGCAGGCAGGGGGTGCCTCACCATGGCAGTGCAGCCAGCACAGGACTCCCAAGGGGAGAACAGCAGGGCACGAAGCCCTGAGGCAGCTGGCATCTGCCCCCGCACCGCACACAAATCTGGGGGGCACATGTTCCCACGTAACTCCCTCCCCAGGAGTGCATGCAGCAGCAGTTAACTGTCCCCACCCCTTTATGAGCTGCCCATGGCTCTGTCCCACTCCCCACCCCAGCTCCAGGCTCCATGCACCACCCCCAGGTCCAGCCCCTGCCCCACTCCATCTCTCACCATGGTTACTTTGATCTGCCCTGTTCCCCCATGGACTTACCTGCAGACAGCTGAGGGAGCTGCTCTCCACCACTGCCTGAGGCTGTATTCCCAGTCACGTGCATATGTGCACACGGACACATGCACATGGCACCCCCTGCATTCCACTCCCCACAACCCCTTGTAGCCTGGAACTCTGCCAGCCTGCAAGGGGAAACCTGCTATTTCACATGTTTTTCCATGGTGAACAGAAAACCCAGACCCCTGCACGATACTGGGAATCCAAGACAAATGCAGTCCTAGAGTCATGCAGCCTGGGACCGGGATTTGATGTTCCCATTTCAGGACTGTCCCACCCAATTAGGGATGAGTGGTCACTATTCTCTTCCCGAGGGAGGCCAGGGCCCTCAGGCCCCCACTTACACAGCACCTATGCTTTGAAGCATAACTGCTTCCATGGGGGCAGTGTCCTGTGCTGAAAGAGGCACAAGATAGAGAGGCCCATGATTTTGGTTGGATAAGGGAATTATTGGGTACAACGTATCTGAAGTCTTGGCTCCACTGAAGTCAGTGGCAAAGATCCTGCTGACATCACTAGTACCAGAATTTCACCCTAGGGTTTTTGTAAAAGCATGTATAAGCTATTCCACAGAACCTGACTGATACGATTAATTCAATTTGGCTTATACCCAAACTAATAGAATGAAATCAGGCTGAAGGACCAAAGACAAAATGTAAAACAAAATAAACAAAAACAAAATAATCCAGTAACAAATCAGTTGTCTTACCACTGAGACTGAGTGTTCCTTTAACATTTAAGTGAAGGAAGCATTGACTTCCCTTTACACACTTCATTACTGTTGAGAGCTTCATGCTTTTCAGTGCAGTAGCAGATGAAGTGGTTGGAGCAACTCGGCAGAAACTGTTAAAAATATCAGCTGTGAATATTAAAAACATACATATATAAATCCCACTGGCCATATGCCATTTTGAAGGATACAAATAAATCCAATAACTTCAAAGAGGAAATCTTGATTCTATTAAGTAAGTGGAAATGTTACTATTAACTTCAGCTGAATCAGGAATTCACCCCAAAGCAAGTGCCTGAACAGAACAATTGAACTCAGTGGGGGCCAACCTTTTGGACAGGCATGCCACAAATTAGCCCCACACCCTCCCGAAATGCCACTTGGATCCCCTTCTCCTGTCTGATCTGCTGCTCTACTTTCTGATTCCTCCTTTGCACTCCCTACCTTATATTTGCTGCTTTGATTTCTGCTGCTTGCCTTAATTGTCAATGTGCTACGTGCCACAGAGGCTTTCTGTGCCTGCTGTCCATGCCGCAGGTTGGCCATCTCTGTTTTAATTGAGCTATAATTATTTGGGCTGGGCCACTTGGGGAGTGTTGGTGAGCTGTTGTGGGCCAGGGCAGTGGGGTGCTGAACCAGTGCAGTGTTGTGATTGGGTGATGCTGACCAGGTGTGGGGAAGGGGAAGAACAGGAGGAGGAGTGGTGGGAGTGGGCAATTAATCCTATCCAGCCCAAGTCCATCCACCCCACAGCCACTGCTGGGGGTGCCAGATGGAGTGGGTGAGTGGGTGGGAAAATGGGGTTTCCATGGAGACTGGCCTGGGACTCCTGACGGCAGGGTGCACTCAGATGGGTGGATGGGATGGGGATGCAGGCAGGTGGGGAGCAGCATCTGTGAGTGGGATGGGTGGCCGGGACTGGGGCCAGGATCATGTGGTGACAGTATGGGGCCAGGGCCAGGGCCAGTATGGGGCAGGGCAAGAATGAGGGGGGCAGACCATGGTTCTGCCCTGGGCCCCAGCCCCATGCTGTCACCACCCTGTGATCTTGACACCAGCACTGCCCGCCCATCCCACTCCCAAACACTGCCCCCCTCCCACCCACAGCCCCATCCCATCTGCCTGGCCAAGTGTGCCTTGCCCACAGAGGTCCTAGGCCAGTCTCCATGAGGGCAGTCTGCCCGTCTGCCTGCTCCATCTGTCACCCCCAGTGGTGAGTGTGGGGCGCACAGACCAGGGTGCTTGGCAGTGGGGCTGGAGCCACCACCACCAGGGCTGCTGGGAAGCCGAGTCTGGCTGCTGTGCCATGCTGCCCCAACCTTGCTGCGCACCCAGGGACAGCAGGACCAGCTGCACGTGCCACAGCCAAGGCTGCCTCCCATGCCTGGGCCGTATGGGGCTGAGGGACCTTCTGAGGGCCAGATCCAGCCTGCAGCCCATATTTTGCCCACCCCTGATTTAATGCCAGCAGGGGTCCTGGGGGTGCAGGCTAGTTGACAGATTTGATCTAATTCTGCTGTAGCAAGCCTCCTGGTTTGTGTACTCTGGTTCTCCTGGTTCTCCAGGTTGGGCTTATTTCTGGATTTCACTTTGGATTTCTCTGTGGCTCTTTCCTGGCTCCTGAGCCCAACTAGGTTCTGGTCTTGGACTTTGCTCTGTGGATTATCCCTCGGACTGGTACTCAGCATATATATTGTGGACTCTGCTGCTGAATTCTCCTCTGCGTTGGGTATTATGGCCCCCATCCTCTGAGTCAATCCTTGGCCCCCATTTTTCCTGTGATCTAACTGTTAGGCAGACTGCCTATGACCCAGTCCTTTGCAGGTTTTAAGCCAATAGAACTTTCTTGAAGACAACAGAGAAAGATTGACATAAAACCAGTGGAACAATCAGGTTTTTAACCTCATTTTGTCTTACATCAGCATATTTCAGAGTTATCTATGCAGGATGAATATTCAAGGGGCATTCCATTTTTTGCTGAAACTAGAAAATAATTCCTACAAAATCTAGAGACATCTTCTTGCACTGCACTGTGCAATATAAATTCCTGTACATTCTGGCACACCAGCTCAAAGCAACCAGGCTCTAATGCTTTCAACCAAAAATAAATGGTTCCAAAAAGCAATAAAGTCTACATTAACTCTCCAAAAGTAGCAGCCAGACTCCATAGTAATTACAATGCAACACTTTTGTCCCATGTATAATACTGTGTTTTTGTACATCTGAATATAACTTACTTCAGAGTACATTAAGATATAGACAAGTAAATGTGTTTAGGGTTCATATTTGGATATTGTGAAAATTCAAAAGCTCTAAAAATATGCTGTTTGGACAGATCAATCATACCACTTCTTCTGTTTCAGTTGGAATCATTATGACCTTAATCCTACTGGTTTTTAATTATCACCACCTTGCAGTATGATGTTGTTAGAGCTCTGCAATTTTTGGGTCACAATCCAAAAGTGGGTCACAAGAATATTTAAAAGGGTGGTGAGCGAGTCCCAGAAATACATGCGAAAGAGCAGGTTTCCCCTTCCACACTAGCAGCATTCCAGCCTTCAGGGGGGCTGCTCAGGACAATTGGAGGCAGCAGGCACATGTGCATCTGCACGTGTAGACCCATAGACCCATGTGGCCAGCATACAGCAAGGCCAGGTTATGGGAGCAGCCCCAGCTGCTGGACACAGGTAAGTGTATGGGGAGCAGGGGTTAGAGGTCCTGGGGACTGTTCGGAGGGCTGGGGAGCGTGTGCGTGTGCGTGTGTGTGCATGCCTGCTAGTGCTGGGGACAATGGACAGGCATAGGGGTGCTGCAGGGCAGGAGGAAGGGAGGAAAGACTCATGGCCCTTCAGTGGGGGAAGGGGTAGGGGCGGTCCTTTCTGATGGGGAGCTGCATGCCTGGGCCAGCAACAGAGGGCCAGTGCCCATACATGCCAGGACCTGCACTTGTTGCTTAGGGAGTAGGGTAGGGGCAGCACTCACTGCTTGCACTCCAGCCCAAGCAGGACAGTGGCAGCTGGGGGCCCTCTCTGGCAGGGTTGGGCAGGGGGCTGCAAGTCAGAAGTAGCTAGGGGCAGGGGATGGGGATTGGGCACCGACAGGACCAGGCAGGTGTGGGTCGGGACAGGCCAGGGATCTTTGCAAATGGGTCCCGGTAGGAAAAAGGAGCAATATGTAGCTCCTCTGGGTCATAAATGAGCAATTGGCCAAGCCTGGTTTTAAAGGAGACTGTTACTGAAGATGCTCTTTCAGACCAGATATCAAGCCAGGAACTAAACCATTCTTAGTCACTGAAGATTCCCCAATCCTTTTTATGTTAGCAAGGGTGATAACAGTAGTATAATGGGTAAAATCCAGCTTCTTTAATTTCATTTTTCCTACCTAATTAATACCACAATTAATCACAAATCCCACTAGATCTGTTGTCCCTCAAAAGGGCTACTATATTCAACATAGGAAGTGCCAGAAAAGGTGAAGCACCAGGTAGATCAGAATAAATTTTTTGTAAATGGAAGATATGACAGAAAAGGAATTTGCTTCCTGTATCACAATGGGAGACTGCAAGTTTCCAGAAGCTACCCTATATATTTCTGATTATTTCTTCAGTGTCATAGGACTCCCTCTCTCATTATTCTCCCTCATTAGACAGCTGACTTTAGAGGGGACATTAGCTTTACACTTCTGATTGGTGGTTTCATCTGCACCACTAGATACAGGCAGTCCTCGGATTTATGACACAATTGGTTCCTAAAAACCGCATCTTAAGCCGAAACATTGTAACTCGGAACTGATTTTCCCATAGGAACAATGTAATAAATGGGGGATTGGTTCCTGAAGCAAGGCCCAATACCCTGTTTTCACCAAAAATAACCCAGAATTTTGTACTCAATCAAATATAGATGAGTAATATAGTTACATTAAGAAGACAAGGTTCTTTGGGTGAATCTGATATCTTTTATTAGACCAACTTAAATAGCTGGAAAACAATTATTAAGCAAGCTTTCAGGTTCAAAAACCCTTCGTCAGGCTAAGGAAGTTTCTGCAGTTGGTGTGTGCTCTTCCTGGATGGAATGAAAAGTAAAGAAGCCAGCAGATGGGCTGGTGTGCATAGAAGACAGGCAGTCAGTGAAAGTGTAGATTGAGGAGTCAATGGGTGAGACACAGGCTGGGGAGGGGGTGGGGCGGGGAAGAGAGAGAAGGGGAATGAAAGTGGAGAGATACCTGGGGAGTCAGATGTCAGGCAGGTTATAATGTGTCATAAATCCAATGTCTATATTTAGTCCATGATTTTTAGTATCCAGGAGGTTGATGAAGTGGAGTTCATAGGCTCATCTCTGGGAAGTGTTTTGTAAGTTTCCTTTGGTTCCATCCAGGAAGAGCACACACCAACTGCTGAAACTTCCTTAGCCTGACGAAAACTTCCTTAGCCTGAGGTTTTATTCACCAAGGCGCCCCCGGGGGTTACAAGAAATAATGGCCACAAGCTAGCAGAGAGCAGATTTAGATTGGACATTAGGAAGAACTTCTCCACAGTTAGAGTGGCCAAGGTCTGGAACGGGCTCCCAAGGGAGGTGGTGCTCTCCCCTACCCTGGCGGTCTTCAAGAGGAGGTTAGATAAGCATCTAGCTGGGGTCATCTGAACCCAGCACTCTTTACTGCCTATGCAGGGGGTCGGACTCGATGATCTATTGAGGTCCCTTCCGACCCTAGCATCTGTGAATCTATGAATCCAAGAGCAGCTCTTGAAATTTCTCCCTTATGAAAGGTGTACTAAAGATACCTAAAGTATCTGCAGGTATATCCAATAGTACTGCTTTACTCTAACATTATGGTATTCAAAAGCAGTTTGCATTTTATTTGTCACAGTATCTCCTGGATTGATACATTATGATGATTCAACACTTTTAAAATCAACTTATTATTGCTTTCACAAGATAACTTATGTTTAACATGTTTTTAATGGGGAATAAGATGTACTTGCTATATACGCCAGTTTCACAATTGACTAGATTTCAAACTGGCAATGTCCTTTTAAAATAGATTCTGCCACATAATTAATTCAGAAGGGGTTTCAATTAATATTTTATAAGCTATTTTAAACTTTTGGGTAGAATGGATCAGATAAGGTAACACAAACAGACATTTGGAGTCAACCTGTAGGCTCTCAGTCTGAGTCATATGATCTGCCCATCCCTATTGTCACGGCACAGGGTCCTGGAGGATGGCTGTGATCTCCCCAAGGCCCCTTTACCGTGCCAAGTTGGCCCAATGAGCACCCTCGATCCTTGCCCGCCACATCTTTGATGACGAAATATATCATTGGGAGGCTGCCTTTCACGCCCTGTTGGTCACGGTTAGCTGTACCCTCTGACCCCGTGCCTTCCCGGACCCCTGGTAGGTCCTGCTCCAAGTTAGATGACACCACAGTTGTTTCAGGGCACCCTAGACTTATGGGCTATGCATGGCTCCAACCACCCCTTTACCACGCCCCAAGCCTTGCAGATGGAATTGACGTTGTTCGGAAGACAGTGCACCCCGAATGCTACACCCTCACTGGCGCTGGGGTCCCCACACTGCAGTGGGTCCCCTATGAGGCCTCCTCCAACCCCTAATAGCCTCACCCAAACCACCGGTTTTAAACACTAAACAAAACACAAGCCCCTTGGCTATAACATGAACTGAAGCCTCCCAGCTATAACGACGTTACTCAAAACACCCCAGGGATGCTCCATCCTTTACCCAGCTTGGGGCTATACCTGCGGTCAGGCCTCTCCTCTCAGCTTTGCTCAGGGAGAGCTCCTTCCTCCCTGGCTGCTGGCAGGGAACTTCCCCCTGGCCTCAGCCCCTAGGGTTTATAAGGGAGCCAGGCCCTGCCCCCTTCAGTCAGCTGACTGCTGGCAGGTGTGGGCACTAACTACTCTGGTTGCCCTGGTGATCAACAGCTGGGCTCCTTACTTACTGCTAGGGCTCTTTTCCTAGCAGTTCCACTCTAAGGAGCAGGGCACCTAAGTGCTCTGCAACACCTATCTATAGTTGATTTTGTGGCTTGTTGCACAGCACACTGTGCTTCCTATTCTTCAAATGCAGCCCTTCTAGGAATTGGTCCTTGAACTACTTGTCTTTCCTTCCAGGCATGTCTCTATATAGGGGTAGCAGAGATAGAAAATGGGATGCAGAAGAACTAGAAGTGAGGAACAGGGATTTGTGAGATAGCTCCTATCACATTTGTCTTGCCCCTCCCAGCTTCCCCACATGCAGTGAATGCCTGTCCACCCACTGTGCACCATGCCAGGGCCACCGCCATGCATCTTCCCCCTCGACCTCATCAGCCTGACTAGACCCTGGCAGCCCAGTGACGGACTCCAGGATGCTACTGCCCAGCCACAATCGCGTTCTTGGACCTCCAGCCCCACCAGGCCAGCCAGGACTGGTAGCTGCATGTCATCTAGCACACCTGGGACAATGAGCAGTTTGGAGGCCTTCAGGATGACCCAGGCCACCTTCCAGGACCTCCTGGAACAGTTCCACCCACACCTGGAGCAGCAGGACACCAGCATGTGGCTGCCCCTCCCTGTAAACACCCTCCTGGCCCTCACCCTGTTCAAGCTGGCCACAGCCACCATGCTACAGTACATCAGCCACCTGTTTGGAGTGGGCAAGGTCACCAGTGGGGAGGCCGTCTGGAAGGTGTGCAGCACCCTCCAGGATGTGCTGGGGACACTGTACTCCACGTACATGACCCCCTGGTGGTAGTGACGGGGGTTCTTTGCCCTGGGATTCCCCCAGTGCATCAGGGCCCTGGATAGGACCCACATCCCCGTCACCTGCCCACCCCATGGAGACCACCCCTATTACAGCCAGAGGGGCTTCACTCCATGGTGCTGCAGGCCATTGTGGACCACCCCAGGGCCTTCATACATTTGAGTGTCAGCTGAGTGGGGCCTTCATACATGTGAGTGCCCACAAGGCCTTAACCTTTATGTGGTACTGCCATGCTGACTGGTTGTGCCTGCATTGCAACCTTCCAAGTTGCAATGGTGCAAACTAAACTACATTGGGATGTACTTTAGTTTATGATGATGCAAACTCAGTTAAAACCCCCAAAACTTGCGTACATGTAAAGTGTGACTCCATTAAGCCACACAAAGGGAAATGTTCATTGCATGTATATGGCAACATAATCATATGTACAAGCAGCCTTACAGACATCCTACCCTGTGAGGCATTAACTCCAGTTCCCAAAGGCTTCCTCAGCCAGTACTGCTCAAGCAGAATAGGGAATCAAAACACCAATTCTCCTACCGTCTGCAGTCCCCTTTCCTTGCAATTCTTTTACACAGTTCATAAAATTCCCTTTTCAGATACCCAACACAAATAGCAAAAATGTTGGAAGGTGTCTCACAAGCACTTGGGAGTTCACTCATGCTGGCCAACAGCATGGTACAGTAGTCACTGGGTGTTTAGGAATATTTTAAACTTATTCTTCCCAAAACATTGTGGAATCTTTTCACCCACCCTCATATAACATTTCTTATTATGGCTAATAATAAAGTCTGTTGGTAAAGTCATACCCAAGTAAGTTGGCTAGGGAAATTCTAGCAACAGCTGTACAGGAAAAGGAAAACTACAGAGCAAAATGCACAGAGGTCAATAAATTATTAGTATTGTAGTATTTACTCTACTCAGCAATTCTAAAGTGTTTTATTTCAAAGAAACTTTATTGGAAACTGGCTGTAAGTATACTAAGTCAAATAACAACACAGCCTTGATATGACTTGGAAAATGAACGTATAACATACAAGGATTTGAAGAATAATAAAAGTATGGTTGACTTACATTCACTGGCAGGTTTGCTTTTACAGTGAATGCCCTGAAAATAAAAATAAGGGACCTTTAAAATAACTGTTTTAAAGGAGAAAAGATATTGGTGAGTGAGCATACACACACAAACAGAAACAGGTTTTAACAAGTCAGCTTCATCAAAGTTGATTACAAAATTATTTTTACAGAAACAAGTCTTCAACCACACATTACCACATAACAGCCATATCTGACTCCCACTGATTCAGTGGGTCCAAAATCAACTTCTAAACTTGGTATTCACTTTCTAATAATGTTCCTTATAAGAATGATAGCAATTCCTTCAAAACACAGAACTATGAATTTGTAAATAGCCAATGCAATTTAGTATCAGAATAAATTTTACCATAGACTAGTTGGATTTCAATTGCACATCATCAGTGAGCAGGCAACCCCAATGAATTTGCTTAGAAGGTGCTTAATATACTTTTGGAGATAAATAACAACAGTATTCATGCTATGCAAAAATTTGTAAAGAGCACCTGCATCTATGAAGAATCAATATTAAAATCAATCAAGTCTAGGTCAAGAAATAAGGCTTGCTAATAGAATTGTGAAGATATTCAAAAAAGATTGTCTAATGAGATGGAGGAAGCTGAGACAATATTATGCCTCATTCTGTAACATTCCCCATTTTTCCTAATCACCAGTGCAACCCTTGAGTTAGGAATGGCTATTTTCAGAGGTTAGAAAATTTCTAACAAAACAGTGGGGGATTTTTAGTCTTTTTTATTTCTCATTCCCTCCTACCTACTCTTTACTTTCTATTTGAGTGCTGTTACTCGTAGTGTGTCAAAAATCCACTATAAAAGTCAAATGTGCCAGAATGATGATGTAAAAAAAACAACTTTCTTTTACATTAGCAAATACAGAAAGCCACATGCTTTTATGGAATACAGATTTCATCAAACTTTCACACACAATGATACTGCCAATAAATGTATTTTGGACGTGAGGGGCCTGTTTGCTAAAAGTTACATGTTGAGGCTGTTGTTACCTTTATATAACTACAGCTAGTGGCAAGCAGGGGCAAGACAGGGGCAACCTCCGGAGGCGCCAACTTGATGGGGAAAGGGGAAAAAAAAAGCCACTGCTGCTGACAGCTGCATGTTCAGATTTGCAATTGCAACAGTAACTGGAAGTCACTGTTTCCACTTTGCTTTGAGTGCCTGGCTGCATCCCTCCACTGCTGACTACAATTTTGCCTAGGAAAGACAACCTAAAGAAAAGTTAACCTTACTTTATACAATTGTTACACTACACTTAATATTTTTAAGTCAAGTGTTTTCAGAAGTGCTGAACCCCCAATCAAGTCACTAAGCATGGTGGCTGGTCAGAAAGCAATGACCCAGTTTTCACTGGAGATTAGAAGTAATGCAAGTGTTAGAATGTGGGACATTTTATGTGCAAGACCGCATCTGCTTTAATGCATTCTATAAAAATATTTATATTTTCTTATAAAGAAAATGCTCAAACAACCTAGCATTTTGCAGACTCGGATTCCCAACTCAGTATACTCGGTGGAAAGGAAAACGTTAGAGTTCCCTCAATAATGACATATAACACCAGGCCTAACTCAAATAGAAAAGGGAACAAGTTGATTTGATATAAAATTTATTATGGAATCTTAGCTGCTGATTAATACATCTATTTGTTATCCATTGTTTTGTTTTTTTGTTTTTTTACTGCATATTATAGAAGGGCTATATAGAAGAGAAAATGTCATTCCCTTTCATTCGCTGAGTTTCTGGATGTATTAGGAAAACTTCAGTTGTCAGATCTGCAAAACGAACACCTGCCTCTAGCAGCAATGAAAATGAAGTGGGCAAGTTACTGTGTTGCCTTTCTTCTGAGAGTGCTCAAAGAATGGGCAAATGATTGTTGGGCAACTCCTTTTTTGGAGGGAACCAATCTCTCTTCTTGTTTCCAATCTTGCATTTTATCACCTTGTTCCTAACCTTCTATTCTGGGGAAGGCTATTAAAAAAGGTGTGGTTAAACAACTCTGGGAACTTCACTTGAATTTGTCAAAATTCCTCAAGACACAATTACTAAATTAGTTAACTATTATGTACAAATCTCACCTTCCTTTACTTCCTTTAATTGAGAGGTTTGTGGTGCAAAAATCAGTGGCAAAATCCTAGGCCCATTGATGTTAATTCCATTAACTTCAAACAGAGCCAAAATTTCACCCTCAGAGTCCCTAAATGTTTCAAGCCACCTAAAAATGGCAATGAAAATACTTTGCAGAGGTGTTGGTATCAGCCCCATGCAGGTGCAGAGCTCCTCACAATGCATCTATTGTATTGGAATCTGCATCAGTTCTTATATTGTGGTCATTAGGAAGAGTAGCTCAGCACCTTTCAGTAGTTTATTTGCAATGTGACTAATATCTGGCATGCGTTAGCCTTTCTCTTAGGAGAGAAGTTTGTCCAGTAAAGTTTCTTACTTTTGTGTAGAGCGTAAATTTGTTTTTCTTTGAGGAAGTTTACTTAGCTAATCAATGGGATTTACACAAACAACTGACAATGGGGAGGGAGGGTTGGACACTTGGTTAAACCCAAATTTCTTGTTTTAAAAAGTAATTTGTTTTCATTTTCCTTTCCTGAGTTTTTTTCCTTTATAATCATTTTGCCAGAGAGTCGAGAAAGATAATTCATCAAAGGAACATTCAGATAAATTACCCATCTCCCATTTTCTGGTGTCTTTGTTTTGAGAACGTATCTAAACTGACTTCAATTTAAAATAATAACCCCAAATAAGAAACTTTTCCTCTTCCACAAATACTTTGGGTCTCCCTTTATGCAAAAGGAAGTACCTATACACTGCTAGATTTTGCTGTTCTTATATGTACATAGTGTCTCTGATTCATCCCTACTGTGGCAAAGTGCCCAAGCAAACAATGAAGAAACAGTTAGGGATTTTCCTGTTTCTCTAGGGTTTCCCCCATCTACAATATTACCCAATTGTACCTGAAGGTTATCTGAGTAGATACAGCTAACTTGCAGTGTCTTGAATACTAGGTGGTGCCAGCTGGCAGCATTTTAGCTAACCTAGCAACTACTGAGAGGTGTAACATCTTTTAATTGTGTTTGCAGTGGGGGAGGAGTACAGAAGGGAAAGTGGGATTAGCAGAAGAATGCTTGGACTTTTTATGGTGACCGAAAAAATATCCCCATATTTCCCAACAACCACAGGAGTTGGGGCAAGAGAAAAACTGGAACACCACAAAACGTCCTGTTTGTCACATAACAATAGCAGCAGGTCACAGTAAGATTGAGCTGCATGCTCCACATGTAACTTTGGCCTTGCCAAAAGCTGCACCTGGCACTCCAAAGAAGGTAGCACTTGTAGGGCTGTGAGCAGATGCAAGTGAAGAAGGACAGCTGTGCGCAGGAAAAGATAGACTTTTTTTTTTTTAAGACAATAGTTTAAGAAAAGATTAAGGCCTTTGTCTTTGGCTCTGCAAGGTCATCCTAAAGCCAGCTAGTCCAGGCACAGCAGTTCTGTCCCATGCATGAAGATCTCGGATTGAAAGAGTGAGCAAAGTAGCTTTTATACGATGATCTCACTCCACACTATCAGTGCTGGAGCAATGGCCTGAGAGAAAAGGAATGTGTCTGAGGCATCCCTAGAATCTGGCAGGGTCCAATTCTTATGACTGTTCCTTGGGACAGCCAGCTTTGAGCTGCCCTGTGCTGCACTGGAGGGATGATCCCAGTGCCAACTGACCCCAGCATGAGGAGAGCCCAAAACAACCATCTGCAGAGGCAAGCCCTGAGTTGGAATTCCCAGGCACAGTTTTGCAAGCAGGGAAACCCCGGGTTTCAGAGGCCTGATGCAGCACACCCCAGGAATTCCTCTCCAGGGGGATTTCCAGGGTGCACAGGATTGGGCCCAAAGGCTCCAGGACCAGCTGCTCAAGGTGGCTGGAGCATGCGGGCAGCTCTGGGCTGCTTACACTCTCCCACCTTAAAACAAACGAATATCTGCTACAAAAGAGTGACATAAATTTAGGCTGCCTTTTGTCATGGCCACAAATTTGGGCATTTGTGGTCCAACAAAGTGCTTGCGTGCTGGGCCTGTGTGAAGCGGCTAGTATTCGCTTCGGATTTGGCCGATTCGGGGGACAGTGATTCAATTTGGCTTTTCTTAAAGTACCAAGCTGAGGTGGGCAGGGGGGCAATCATGGG